CTTCATTGTAAGCACACTGCTCTGGATGGCTGTGCCCAAGCCGACAGGGAGGAGGACTGTTAGTAAACAAAGCAGCCCTGCTCCCCGTCGGGTAGTCACCATCCGGGACCCGGTGATTGATAGCTGAGGCCACGAATGGTGGCGCAGGTAGGGCATGTGCGGCTCGACAGCCTCAGCTGTCTCTAATCCCCATTGACATAATCTGTGACGAAACACGTAGGGAGGAACTAGACGTCGTGACTTTATCACGCACACAGAAGTGTACTGATCGGGTTCTGATCCATTGTGGATATATAGCACTGTTACTTTTATCTATAATACTGTTTTTATACCTTTTTTTAATAAAAGTTATTGTAGATTTCACACTTTTGGAAGTGCTCTGCCCTTCCTTTTCTTTTTTTTTTTTTTAGTGTGGAGATGTAAAGATAGATGTGGTGGAAGCCGCTATATATATATTCCTCCCAAGATGGTTATATACCATCTATGCTCATTTTGACCACTCAGAAAATGGGGGTCATGGCTCTCTGGTAAGCCTTTATATATGGCACAGTGGTGAAGTGGACTTCACATTGCTGAGCACTTTTTTTGAAGATCACTTGTTTTTTTTTTAACACACCTTGACACAAGAAGAATTGTGTGATTATTTTTTTCAGATTGCATTGGCAATAATATTTATTATTTATGCCCCTGAATACTTGTGTTTCTTTTGGATTAGTGCTACACTTGTCTACAGGATTTAACATATTGATATAATATATTACATATTTTACAAGCAGATTTTCATATAATACTATTATCTTCATCATTTTTTTTGGTAACTATAAGTGCTGTTTCACTTAGGTTTGCATTCTTTATATTGTATCCAAGGATGTCACCAGCTAAATGCAGTCCCCAATTGCAATGAATGTGTTGGGTGGAGCTGGTGGTGGTATTATCAAACCTAAGTGACAAATTTACTGAATAAAGATGTATTGCTTTGACCATTTTGCTGCCAGATCCGTACAGCGTGCAGACCTACAGCATTGCTTCTACAATGTATGGACCTGCATTCCTGCTTTTTCTATAAGCTGATCTTTTGAGTGACCTTCACCTCCTGCCACCACTGTTCTATTAAATGTCCCCCCACTCTACTTTCACCCCCTGCTACCCTGCAGCTGCCAGCTTCCCTCCTCTGCCTCTCCTGCCAGCTTGCTTCAGGAGCTACAGAGGCTTTGAAGCACAAAAACATGCCCCCCTCATCACTCTGACCCCACAATGGCCCCCCCACTCACCAATCCCCTGCTGCTGGCCAGAGTTCCCTACTCTCCCTCCTGCCGCCTTCACCTGCTGCTATGGCACTTGGGGAAGCTGCCAGGATTGAGATAGGGGGGGGGGGGGGGGGGGGGCGTATAGGTAAACATGCGCTTACCAGTACGCTCTCCTTCCTTCAATGGATACAGTCAGCAGTCACTACTGATCAATCCTCTGTCCTTTGATAACTGAGCATGTGTCCATTTATGAGTGAAAGGGAGTCCCTATACAGATTCCTTATTCATTCATATAATGTTCAGCTCAAAAATGAGACTTCAGGGGCCTGTTTAGACTCCTGATATTTCACCAAAGCTCCCCCCCCCCCAAAAAAAAAAAAGTACTCACTGATACTCTGTGTGATTTTAAGTACTCACTGATACTTTGTGTGATTTGCAACCATACATAATGAATGGGAGCACACTGCAAAGAATGGCATGTTATTCAAACAGGAATGCAGCACGCTTCCTGTCCAAATCACAAGTGGTTTCCCCACCGGTCCTGTGTGAACCCATGCTTGTCACAGTGATTTTAGCCTGGGTTCACACAGAAGCGGTGCGAGAAACCGTATGCAATTAGGACAGGAATCACACTGCATTCCTGTTTAAATTGCATACCAATCTTTGCAGTGCAATTTGTGCCCAGTGAAAATTGCACCGCAAAGTATCGTTTTTGGGTATCGGGGAGCATTTTCATGAGTACTCACGACAATACTCAATATCGGCACCAAAACCAATACTGGTATCAGTGCATCCCTAATAGCAGGGCCGGATCTAGCCTGTCTGATGTGGGGGTGCAGTAAAAAATGTCAGAGGGGTAGAGGATGGCAGGTCAGCAGGGCAATGTACAGGGGGTCAACAGGGCAGAGGATAGGATCAGCAGTTTGTAGGCCAGAGTACCAGGGCTATTAGCTTTTAGAACAGTGTACAGGGGTCAGCTTGGCAGTGAACAGTTGGTCAGCAGGGGAGTGCACAGGAATTGGTAAGGCAGTGCACTGGGAATCAGTAGGGCAGAGAAGAGGAGCTAACGCTGGCAGGGCAGAGAACAGGAGTCACCCCTGGCAGTGCAATGGACAAGGGTCACCACTGGCCGGAGAGATGACAGGGGTCACTGCTGACAGGAGAAAACAGGGGTCACTGCTGAAAGGACAGAGGAAAGGGGTCACTACTGAAAGGACAGAGGACAGGGGTCACCGCTGGCAGGAGAGAAGGCAGGGGTCACCGCTGGAAGGAGAGAGGATAGGGGTCACCACTGGAAGGACAGAGGACAGGGGTCACCACTGGAAGGATAGAGGACAGGGGTCACCACTGGATGGATAGAGGACAGGGGTCACCACTGGAAGGATAGAAGACAGGGGTCACCGTTGGCAGGAGAGAGGACAGGGTCACTGTTGGAAGAATAGAGGGCAGGGTCATCGCTGGAAGGATAGAGGGCAGGGGTCACTGCTGGAAGGATAGAAGACAGGGGTCACTGCTGGAAGGAGAGAGCATAGGGGTCACTACTGGAAGGAGAGAGCACAGGGGTCACTGCTGGAAGGAGAGAGCACAGGGGTCACTGTTGGAAGGAAAGAGCACAGGGGTCACTGTTGGAAGGAAAGAGCACAGGGGTCACTGCTGGAAGGAGACAGCACAGGGGTCACTGCTGGAAGGAGACAGCACAGGGGTCACTGCTGGAAGGAGACAGCACAGGGGTCACTGCTGGAAGGAGACAGCACAGGGGTCACTGCTGGAAGGAGACAGCACAGGGGTCACTGCTGGAAGGAAAGAGCACAGGGGTCACTGCTGGAAGGAGAGAGTACAGGGGTCACTGCTGGAAGAAGGGAGGACAGGGATGACTACTGACAGGGCACTCAGCATAGCTCCCTTGAACATGCACAGTCTGAGCACAGGCAGCAAGATTTCCTCCTCGGCTCTTCCTCACACAAAACAGAGCTGAAATCTGATTCCCTTTCATTCAGCTATGATCTGCTCAGCGTGTAGCTGGTTACTACAGTTGTGCTGATGTTCTAACCAGGGAATTTCACAGGTCAGAAGTGCAAAATAGTAACCAGCTACACACTGTGAAGATTGTAGCTGAGTGTAAGAGAATCTGATTTCAGCTCTTTGTTGTGTGGGAATTAGCAAAGGAGATCTTGTTGCCTGTGCTCAGACTGTGCATGTGCAGTCAGTATAGGGGGATTGTGACTCAAAATTGGAAGCTTTGTTGGAAGGGCACAACTTAAATTTGTGGGGGGGTGGAGCCCACCTAAACACCCCCTAAATCTGAGAATGCCTAATAGTAAAACCTTGTTCACACAGGGAATACACAACATATGCCCCTGCAAGGCTGTGCTTACCCAAGCAGGGATGCACAGGTGTTCCATGCATCCCTGTCCAGGCAGTCCCATTGATGTAATTTGGGATGTAGCAACTGCACAAACACAGCCATTGCTCCCAAGTTAACATCCATGTAGGCCCACGTGCATGTCCCTGAGCTCACACTGTCTGCGTTCGGAGTCCTGTACCCACACCCACTTGAATGTCAGATTGTGCTATGCCCGTGCAGCCAATGCATCCCAACTGACAGGAATGGGACTGCCTGAATGGGGATGCATGGAACACCTTGGCATCCCCATGAGGATAAACACAGCCTCCATGGTATACATGTTAGTACACCCCATGTGAACGAGGTTTTAGTAGCAATTTAACAGGAATTAAAAAGTTATGTTTGTGTTTGTGTGCATTAACCACTTGCCCTCCAGAGGATTTGCCCCCCTTCCTGACCAAACCATTTTTTGTGTTACGGCTCCACGTTACTGTAACTGACAATTGCACGGTCATGCAACGCTGCACCCAAATAAAAAGTATGCGCCCCCTACCTGGAAATGCAAAATCACATATAGATATATATATATATATAGATAGATAGATAGATATAGATATATATATATATATATGTGATTTTGCGCACATCTGCCGCCCTGTGGCAGTATTTCTGCACTGGGGGTAGGAGCTGAAGCAGTTAATAATGATTTTAGTGTATTTGTAGAGAAAATATCGATTTGATTAACATTTGCATAATTACTGCAGGGCTAAAAAATCAATAGCACTTTTTTATTCTATAGGTCATGTGCTCTCAGAAAATGTATGGTCTGGGAGGTCTTTTCAAATTCTGAAATCTGAAAGTGAAAAACGGTAACCGCCAGATTTTTAAAATAAATTGTTTACTGTATTTGCCAGCGTATAAGACGACTGGGCGTATAAGACGACCCCCTACTTTTCCTGTTAAAATATAGGGTTTGAGCTATACTCGCCATATAAGACTACCCCTCTTCCAACACACACCAAATAAAAATGAAAAAACATCAGATTTCAATATGGTATGCTATTTCAGTATGGTATTCCAGTAATGGGGTGCTATTCCTCCCACTGACACCAATGATGGGGCACGATTCCTCCCACTGATACCAATGATGAGGCACTACTCCTCCCACTGACACCAATGATGGGGCACTAATTCATCCACTGACACCAATGATGGAGCACTATTCCTCCCACTGATACCAATAATGGGACACTATTCCTCCCACTGACACCAATGATGGTGCCCCATCATTAGTGTCAGTGTGTGAGGAATAGTGTCCCATCATTGGTGTCAGTGGGAAGAATCGTGCCCCATCATTGGTGTCAGTGGGAGGAATAGTGTCCCATCATTAGTGTCAGTGAGAGGAATAGTGCTCCATCCTTGGTGTCAGTGGTAGGGATAATGCGCCCCGTCATTGGTGTCAGTGGGAGGAATAGCGCCCCATCATTGGTATCAGTGGAAGGAATAGTGCCCCATCGTTGGTATCAGTGGCGGGAAAAGTGCCCCACCATTGGTATCAGTGGGGAGAATAGTGTCCCATCATTGGTGTCAGTGGGGAGGAACAGTGCCTCATCGTTGGTGTCAGTGTGGAGGAGGAATAGTGCGTCATCGTTGGTGTCAGTGGGGGGAGGAATAGTGCCTCATCGTTGGTGTGAGTGGGGGAGGAATAGTGCCCCATCATTGGTGTCATTGGGGAGGAGGAATAGTGCCCCATCGTTGGTGTCAGTGGGGGAGGAATAGTGCCCCATCGTTGGTGTCAGTGGGGGAGGAACAGTGCCTCATCGTTGGTGTCAGTGGGGGAGGAATAGTGCCCCATCGTTGGTGTCAGTGGGGGAGGAACAGTGCCTCATCGTTGGTGTCAGTGGGGGAGGAACAGTGCCCTCCATCGTTGGTGTCAGTGGGGGAGGAACAGTGCCTCATCGTTGGTGTCAGTGGGGGAGGAACAGTGCCCCATCGTTGGTGTCAGTGGGGGAGAGGAATAGTGCCAAGAGTGTCACAGCATGGTGCTGCTGCACACTTACTGGCCGCTCCCTCACTCGATTTTCGCGCGGAGCCGCTCGGCTCCGCCTCCCTCGCCGGTGATTGGTTGCCTGTGTGCCTTTCCAGTGCTGGCGCCCAATCACCGGTAAGGAGGCGGAGCCGAGCGGCCACGCGACCATTGAGCGGGCCGAACTGAAAGAAGGAGCAGCCGCACTTCCTGGACCGGATCATCGTGGGACCGGGACCGGAGCCAGGTAAGGTACAGCAGTTCCCTGCCCGCCCCTGTACTTAGTGTCCGTTCCGCCACTGCGCCGCCCCTCAAAAAAGTGCCGCCCTGACACCGGCTCGCCGTATACCGGCGTACAAGACAACCCCCGACTTTTCATAAAATTTTCATGGGTTGAAAAGTCGTCTTATACGCCGGCAAATACGGTATATTTACAGTTTTCATTCCATTTCATTTCACAAAAAGATACAATTTAAAATTTACAAATGTTTGTTATTTATTAACTCAATACAATTTTAGCATTTATATTTAGTAGGAATTTAGCAGGAATTTAGTACATTTTGCCATGTCTGTATCCACTAATAATGATTTTAGTTTTATTTAGTAAAAATAGCGATTTGATGAACATTTGCGCAACTATTGCGAGGCCTAAAAAAATCAGTAACACATTATTTCTATTCTATAGGTCATTTGCTTTCAGAAAATATATGGTTTGGGGGGGTCTTTCGTAAAACCTGAACGTTGTACATGAAAAATAATAACCTCCAGATTTTTAGAATAAATTGTTTTTATTTACAGTTTTGAGTCCCTTCCCCATTTCATAAAAAGGCACAATTAAAAATGTACAAATATTTGTTATTTATTAACTCAATACAGTTTTAAATTTAGTAGGAGTTTTATAAATTTTGCCATGTATGTAACCACCAGGGGCGGACTGACCATTTGGAAACTCGGGTACTGCCCGAGGGCCCGGGGTCAGTAGGGGGCCCCATGAGATGCCCCTGGTACCTTTTTCATAGGCTTTTTTGAGTTTGGGCAAGGACACAGGGGTCCCATGATCCCCTATTGCCAGGGGGCCCCATGAGTTGTCAGCCCCCCCTTGGTATCCACTAAAAATTATTTTAGTGTGTTTTTAGCAAAAATATTGGTTTGATAAACATTTGCGCCAATATCACAAGGGCTAAAAATCAGTAGTATATTTCTTTTTTTTTTTACTGGTCCTATGCTTTCAGAAAATATATGATTTGGGGGGTCTTACACAAACTCTGACAGCTGTAAGGAAGAAAAAAAAATAGAAAAAATTGCAAAAAACAGCCTGCCCACCTGAGTTTAAAAGTGGAGTGCAGGGCCTGGCAGCGAAAGAGTTAATGATATTGCAATATTGGGTGTCTTCCTTGTTTTTATGTTAGCATATGATCATTTGGAAGAGACTTATACAGTCATTATCATTAATATTGGGTTATGAAGGTGACACTGACTTAACTGGCTTTAGCTGCATGTTTTCTTTATTGTACAAGCACTTATAACCCTCTATAACATAGAGGTCAATTTTTCTTGTAAGTAGTGTGTGCACCTGAAGGTTTGGGATTGCAGTACTTGGCACTTTTATCACATTTATCGCAGTAAAGCACCAGCTCTCTGTGGACATTTTTTTACAGAGTAGTTCTTTTAACTCTGTATGCAATTTGCACCTTATCTTCTCTGATATTTGCTCATGATTATATTGCATGTTTGTGTCACAGTGTTATATTCACCTGAATTTATTATATAATTGTTTATGGTATAATTCTTAAAAGAATAGTGCACCTTATTTTGCATTAAGTGTCCAAGCTGAAATAAGGCCTCGGACATTCAAGGAGTTGTCATTGACTAGATCACACTGTCCAAAAAATTAGGATTAAAAAGATCATTAAAAAGGTCATTAGCGATGCCTGAGAAATCAGTTGGTATAGGTGAATCACATTGTACCAAATGTCTTTGGGAAACAACATTTTATAAAGGAGCTTGCTCAGTGCTATGTCAACAGTACTATTCCACAGTAGAAAGCTGGGGAGGACAGATATTATCCATAGCTTTTCTACCTTCGTCCAATGATTATAGGAATAGACGGTGGACAAGGAGGCAATGGCTCATAGACGGGTTGCGTGATAGTGTTTCAGTAAATTCGGGAATGCTAAGCCACTTTGATTGGGAAAGGCATAAAGGACTGATCTAAAGATCCTGTGTTGTTGTAGTGTAGTGTGTAGTAATATTTTAAAGTTGCATAGCCAGGATGGGAATTGGCAGGGTCTCTAAAAGGTAGAGAGATTTTGGTAAAATTTGGCTTGTTGCATCACTTCTACTTTAGTGTTTTCAGCCAGTGGAACGCACACAGATATAGGAAGTAACATATGTGCTGTGGCTTGCTCATACTGCAAGCATTTTTATAGTGTAAGTGTATCTCAATTGTTTTTATGGTGGATATAAAACTGTATCACGCTATTGGAGGCTGCCTCTGGGCTCTTTTTCTAGCCCCATGCAAGCAGTCATAAAAGAAAGGTGCAATGGGAAAACCCTTCCAATGGAGTGGGGACTGCAGGACCAGTGGAGTAGACAATACTCAATTATAAAGAACTTGAGACACACTTATGGTGCATAAGGGGTCACCATATCTCAGTGAGTGTGGTGAAAAAGGAGGGAAGCACAAAGTGTGTTGCACATAGAGAACACCAAAGAATGTGAATATTGAGTAACAGTCACTTTATCTTGCACAGTGGACTTTTTATTGCAATATTCACATTGATTTTTTATAACTGGGACTTTCATATTGGATATATACTTTTTATGCAAGATGTATATTTGGCACTTTAGATTTAGACACTAATGTGCTGGCACTTTATATTTTGTAATTAACCTGTTGATTATAGAGTCACTATATTGGGTTTCCCAGACTTGTTTGCACAAAGGAATAAATGCAGTATATAGTATCTATGTATGAGGTTTATATATGGCAATTGAGATTGACATATCTTGACACTTATATGATGGTAATTTACAATTTGTTATAAGCTTGTAGGGTAGAACTTTGGTTCTTATTTAATTTTTTTTATTTATTTACTTCACTTTTTAACAGGTCATAGTAAGCGCTGCACTAATTTGAAAAGAAAAATGATTCTTTCTCTATTGCAACAGAGATGTTTTGAGGTCACAAAAGAGAGGTATAAAGTTTTCCCTATATATTGTGTCATATGTTGGGGTCATTTTCACTCTCAAGTATTTTATCTTTGTTGTCCATCGACTATAAGGAGAATAGTTGATTAGTGGTTAAAGTGTTAGAGGGGAAGCATTCAGTAGAAGGGCTTCAGTTTTATAGTGGTTAATTTTGTACACAGACAAGGAGCTGTATGTTTCTAGTGCATAGTGTAAATTAGGAAGAGTGACCTGTGTTTATGTTAAAGTGAGAAAGACGTCTTCTGCGAAAAGCAAAATGTTGTATTTTTTTGTTCCTGATGGGAAGTGGCAGCAGTCCAGAGTTGCTATGGCACTGGTAGTCTTAGTGCAGAAGTCTTCTGCTTTATAGCTCAGAGTGGCTTCTTGAACTGACACACACACACATTCATCCCTGCAACTTGGTCCAGCTAAAAGTAATTAACAGACCTGTCAATGGAAAAACCAAGCCTGGTCCACGGAATTGGAACTCCACCCCACTCTGCTCATGAGGATTTCCAGTGAAAGCAGCACCAACACACATTTTGTATAAGACAGGTAAATATCTAGGTGTCCTCACCATCAGGACCTGACAATATCAGCATTAAATTAATATTTATTTAACTACATTTGCAAAAACTCTTAAATGATGCCTAAGATATCCTAATGCCATAAAATATTTTGCAATTTGCAATTAGAAGTAGCTATTGAGATTTTCAATAATTACATTGTATCACTGTGATATCTTGAAACCAAGGTGTGTATACTTTCAGTTATATTTCTAGTAACAGTAAATGCTATATCAAGTTGAGCATCATACAGTGTTGAAACAGCTGGATGATTAAAAGCCAAATATCCCTGACAAAGAGTTTAAGCTGTTGTAAACTATGGATTGATAAGGAAATCATTTATTGTATAGGTCTGCTGCAATTCTTAATGAATTATGGTAAACATGGTACTGTATTGTCACATATTAACAGTAATAGTCATGTCCAGATGAGCATCATATAGTGCAGAAGCAGATGGATAATTGAAAGATAAATATTTCTATGAGCTGTTATAAACTATGGGTTAATATAAGAAGGAATACACTGTTCTACAGGTCTACTGAAACTCTTAATTATTTATACTTGGTTGGATAACAAAGTATATCAAAGGTATAAAAGGATATCAAAGATGGTCTCACTTGCATCTGTTTGCCTCAGTTCACCATGGAGATGAGAAGAGCAAGTACCGTGCTAATGCTGGCAGGCAAAAAGGCAGAGTCAGTATCAATTTAGAAAGCTGAGAAAATCATAGGAAGGAAATAGTCAGCAGTGTTTTGAAAATGAAGCACTAAGACAGCAGCAGGGGCAGTAACAGAAGGGTGATGATGTACCAGAATAGCAGGCAGTGAAGAGCCTGGAAGCAGAAAACAATACATACAAGAGGAAATGGTCAATTATTAGCCAGAATTGATAACAGGAAGCTGAGATTTTAGAATAGTCATGTAAAATTTACAGAGCAGAACAGTTATAGTCAGGACTCTACGTGTGAGTTTTAGCAGCCAATGTCCATCTATGTTGATGTTTAAATACA